GACAGCAGAGACTTCATGAAGTGTGTCCATATGTGGATCTTGCCTGGAAGGACCAGACACTGCTGCTAAGACCCCTTACCCAAAGCCAGCCCATCACTTTCCATTCACCCTCAGCTGGTTAAACAAAGAGAAGAGGCAACTGCAAGGGGAAAGAGTGAGGTTTCTGCTCAGAACAGGAAATAGAGCTATCCTGTTATTGCCAAACATCAGACAATGTCCATGGCATAAATGTTACAGAAGTAAAAGTATACTGTTTCCCTCATTTAGGGATAAAAGATGCCAGGTTTTGCTTTGAAGCCTATTTTTGAGACAGTCCTGAGCATCTCTAGCTGTGAGCTACAGACTCACTGGGAAGGGCAGCCCCAGGTGGAGAGATGGTGGGGTGAGGCATGTGAAGGGTGAGCTAGAGACTAGACCTCACCCTCGGCTGCTCGGTGAATATCAGGCCTCAGTGAGGAGAGATGGGAGAAAGGTGGTAGCCTACCTGGTGATCTGCTTTCTTGGAACAATTAACTTATGATGACATTTGTGTTTTGGGGAAGAATAAATATACTATTAGGTGGTATATGTTTGGAGGGCACTGAAAGAACTGAGAGATCATGTTTTTTAGTGAGTATGCTTCCAGTCAGCAAGTCAGTACTTATTATGGAGTGTCTGCTCTGTGGGAGGCAATGAAGGAAAAATGGTATCTATTATGGACTGAATTATGTCCCCTCAAGATTTATGTTGAAGTCTTAACTCCTGTAGGTATTTGGAAATATGGTCTTTGAAGATGGTATCAGTCAGGCTAACATGAGGTCAGTCTGGAGTAGGGTGGGTAGTAATCCATTCTGGGTGGTATCCTTATAAAAGATGATAGGAGATGCAGAGACAGATAGGTAAGAGGAAATATGGTCATGTGAAGATGTCAAAGAAGGCCAAGGAATGCCTGGGGCTATCAGAAGCTGGGAAAGCAACATGGAACAGATTTATCCTCAAAGCTTCAAAAGGAACCAGTACAGCTGACACCTTGATTGGAGGAGCTCTGGTAGCATAGTGGCTAAAGCACTTGAATGCTAACCAGAAGGCTGGCGGTTCAAACCCACCAGCCACTCCTCAGAAGGAAGGTTGGGCAATCCTACTTCCGTAGTGATACTGCCTCGGAAACCCAAGAAGGGATCGCTATGAGTCGGGGCTGACTCGACGGCACATAACAACAACAACAACAAGCCTCCAGAACTGTGAGAGAATAAATTTCTGTTCTCATAAGCTACCTAGTGTGTGGTACTATGTCACAACAACAGGAGGCACTGAAAGTAGAAATGTGTCCAGATCAAGTGTGGCCCAGGCCTTCACGGGCCTCTAACCAGTGGCAAAGCCAAGGTAAAAATGAGTGAGCTAATACCAAAAGTCATCACAAATTGTTATCATATCTACAATGTTAGAAAGGGGTTCAGAAACAGCATAAAGCAGACCCCTCACTGAGGAAAGGAGGTCTCCCCCGAGGAGGGACATTTACATCAACACCTAAAGGAAGCAAACGCAAGTCTGGAGAGATGAAGGAGTATGGCAGAAGTCCTGAGGGAGGGACGGCTTGTGAGGGGCAGAAAGGAAGCTTCAAGGCTAGGTCCAGAGTGGGGATATTATCCTACAGGCAGCAGGAAGTGACCAAATGGGCTGAAGCAAGAAGAGGTGCAATCTGATTTATGCATAAGTGGGTGTCTTTGGTTCCTGCAGAATGAACTGGAGGGGGTGAAGAAGCAACAGGGTTCTAGTGCAGAACAATATACTGCTTCAGCACACCTAGTCCACCAACACATAGCTGTGGGACATTGGGCAAATTATTTAGTCTCTTTATGATTCCGAATTTTCATGTATAAAATTGGGATCAAAACAATACCACTCTTATACTGTTGTTCAGAAGGTCAGAGGTTCAAACCCACCAGCTGCTCTGTGGAAGAAAGAGGGGGCAGTCTGCTTCTGTAAACATTTCAGGCCTTGGAAACCCAATGGGGGTTTTTATGAATCAGAATAGACTCAGTGGCAGTGTTTTTTTTTTTTTTTATGTTGTTGTTAGTTGTCATCTTATTGGCTCTGACTCATGGCAACCCTATGCACAACAGAACACAATATTGCCTGATCCTGCACTATTTTCAAAATCATTGGTATGTTTGAATGCATTGTTGCATTTCACTGTTGATTTTGACTGCATTCTAACCTAGGGGGCTCATCTCTCAGCACCATATCAGATAATATTCTGTTGTGATAGGGTTTTCATTGGCTAATTTTTGGGAGTAGATTTCCAGGCGTTTTGTCCTAGCTTGTCTTACTCTGATAGCTTTGCTGAAACCTATCCACCACTGTGACCCTCTTGATGTTTGAAATACTGGTGGCATAGCTTCCAGCATCATAGCGACATGCAAGCCACCACAGGTACAAAAACCGTCAGACAGATAGTAGAGCTTTCATAGGGCAGCATTAAATGATTCCCCACATTCAAATGTCTAGAAGGGTTCCTGGCACATGATACGAGCCAATGCATTCAATATTCTTAGCATGATCAGACATGAAGGAAGAAGAAAAGGGGTCAAGAAGATGTTTCAGGGACTCAAGCTAGGCAATGGATTGTGGCACTCTTTACAGAGGGAGGAGGAAAAAAGAGCACAGATTAGAAAGGGTCAAGTTTAAGGTATCTGGGGAAGACCCAACAGAGTTGGCAGGACTGTGCCCCTTGAGGACAGGCAGGGATTTTATGTTGTCATTTGTCATTGTAAGCCTGCACCTAGCAAAGCCCTTGGCCCACAGGTCAGGCCTCATCAAGGTTTCCTGAAGGCTGATGTTGGAAAGGCATCCCCATGAGAGAGCACAGGGGGCTGAAGGACTGAGAAGACTGGTATTCTCTTTCTGGTCTTATGCCATTTCCCTGCCTCATGAGAAAATTCTAAGGGGTGCTGCTGGACTCCAGGGATTAGATATGAAGACTTCACTCTCAGAGAAACGTCGAAGCCCATAAAAGTCTGACGTGCTGAAATCCGACTCCTCAGCAGTCTATGTGCTCCAGCTCTATGTTCTTCACTGAGAACGCACAAGTGTGCTATGAATTGAACTGTGTCCTACAAAATAAATGTGGATGTCCTAACCTCTGTACCTGTGAATATGACTCTGTTTGGAGATAGGGGTTTCCTTTTGTTATGTTAGTGAGGCCATACTGGAAAAGAGAGGGTCCTAACCCTAATCAGTTCCGAGTGGTATTTTATAAAGGTGGTAACAGATACAGATAGACACACACAGGCGGATGGCACATGTGAAGATGACTCTATAAGCCAAGGAATGCAAAGAAATGCCTGGGGCTACTAATAAAGAAGGACCTTCGATTAGAGCTGATGCCCTGGTTTGGACTTCCAGTTTCCAGAACTGTAACACAATAGACTTTTGTTCTTTAAATCCACCCATTTGTTATGGTAGCACCAGAGGTTCTCAAACCTAGTTGGCCATTGGAGTCATTTGGGAGATTTAAAACCTCCAATTTCTGGGTCCTACCCATGGGGCGTGTGATTTAATTGGTCTGAGGTGTAGCCTGGCATGATGATTTTTAAACAGAGAGGGATTTGAGGGTTATTAATTAGTATGACTTTAACTGGCTATAAACATTTATTTTTAGTCATGATTAATAACATGTTCATTTTCAAAATTGATGTGATGCAGCTAATGACACATAGTTATAAAACAGACCATTTAAAAAAGGAGTAAAACTGGGAAATTTTTAATTTCAAAAGCACAAGAGAAAAACCTGTGGTGCAAGAATTATTATATTTTTAATAAAAAGTCTAACAAGGTTTCTGGAGCAAATAAGCAAAGGTGAACCAGAAGGGTTATGGTGTCATCATGATTCATAAAAGGATACCTATGAGGTAAATAGAGTTCCTAGGTGTTGCGAACGGTTGAACACTCAGCTGCTGTTTGAAAGGTTGGAGGTTTGAGTCTACCCACAGACATCTTGGAAGAAAGGCCTGGTGATATACTTCTGAAAAATCAGCCATTAAAAACTATGGAGCACAGTTCTACTGACACACATGGGGTTACCCTGAGTCAAAGATGACTTGATGACAACTGGTTTTACAAAGTACTCTTTTGTTGTTGTTACCTGCTGTTAAGTTGACTCCCAACTCACAGTGACCCCATGCACAACAGAATGGAACACTACCTGGTTCTCTGCCATACTCCCGACTACAGATCAGATAGTTGTAATCCAAAAGGTTTTCACTGACTGATTTTTGGAAGTAGATCATCAGGCTTCTCTTCCTAGTCCATCTTACTCTGGAAGCTCTGCTAAAACCTATTCAGCAACATAGCAACATGTAAGCTTCTGCTGATAGACAGGTGGTAGCTGTTCATGGGGAGTATTGGCTGGGAATTTAACCCAGGTCTCACACACTGGCCATGAGAATTCTACCACTAAACAAGCAATATCTCACAAGGTAATCTACAAGGAAATAAAAACTAAACACTTTTCCCCCATCAAATCTTTCTAGGATAGGTGAAAAACATCTGGGTGAACAAGAGGGCTGAGCACATAGACAGTTCATGGTTCATTAACCACTAGATGGCTCCTTGTTCAGTCAGCAGCCAATCTGAAGGTTATTGCTTTTCCTGAAGGGCTATAGGCTTCCCTATGATGATCTTGGCCAAATAAATCCAAGAAGCAGGAGACAAGGGTTTGCAACCCACCTGTCATGGAAAACTTTCTTCCAGGGCCCAGCCAAGGAACAGAGACCTGGCTTCCTAAACAACTTCACTGCACTCAAGTTCAAAGAGCTGTTTTTGAGCTCAGGAAAGATTTGCTGAGTCATCACTGGACACATAAAATACCCCTGCACCACGAGCTCTTAGTTTAGTTTCATTTTTCTAATGACCCTGCTTTGCATGAAGCAGTAGGTGCTGCAGTTCTTAATCTTCTTCCTGGCCTCATGGACATTTCCACTGTGGCATCTGGTAGAATGTACCAGCTGAGGGAGACTTACGGGGGGTTGTCACATTTCCTCTGCCGGAAACGGGCTCCTGTGCCACATGTTCGGCTGCACATGCTCCAGGTGCCCCACAGGCTCCAATCTCCATCCACGTGCTCTGGGATGGGTGTCTTGCCAACACACTCCCCGGCGCGGCACCACTAAAACACAGAGGGAGGACCTGTGGGCCCCATGCCACTCAGAGAGAGAAGGAACGTGTTCACTCACCAAATTAGTGATCCACCCATGCCAAAACACCAAGCCTCCCAAAATCAATTTTTGTAATTTAGGAGGCCCTGGATAGTACAAATGGTTTGTGCTCAGCTACTGACCTAAAGGTTGGTGGTTCGAATCCACCCAATGGAACATGGCATCTCCTTCCATAAAGATTACAGTTAAGAAAACCCTATAGAGTAGTTCTACTCTAATACACGGAGTCACCATGAGTTGGAATTGACTCAGTGGTAATGGATTTGGTTTTTTTGACTGGTTGGTGCAAATGGTTAAGTGCTTGGTTGCTACCAAAAGGTTGAAAGTTTCATCTAGAGATATCTCAGAAGAAAGGTCTGGAAATCTACTTCCAAAAAAAAATCAACAATTGGCAACCCTATGGAGCACAGTTCTACTCTGACACACATGAGGTCACCTTGAGTTGGAATCAACTAGATGAAAATTGGAAAAAATGAAAGTAGACTATTTTGGGGTGTGCATGGTTGCAAATTTAGCAGCATTCCTCACTTACTCAATGTGGCACCTCTATCCCACTGAGGTTTCGGTTTTTCCCTAAACTTCTGCATGGAATATGCTCTATTGGGATTTTCTAAAAACAGAATTTATCCACATGGCTCATGAAGAGACCCGAGTGTCTACAAACTTTGCTTGAAGTGAGAGAAGGCAGCACATCCTGGTATGTGGTTTTGAACTTCAGAGTTGGGTTTGGTGCTTTGAAATGACACTGCTGATGCCAGGTGAGTTCTTTATGAGGACAAGAGAAAGCCAATCTCTAAAACAATACCCTAGCCCATGTGATACATAACCTGGGGACCCGATATGTGACTTTACGGGTCTCAATCCCAGGGTCAGAATGAAAATTTTATCCCCTTACCAACTCTCTTTCAATTCTTCTCATAAGAGCAAGAAACAGAAAGTCTCAGATTGTTGCTGCAATGTCTTAAATACCTCTTCATCATTTACCAGTCTCTCCTGTTAATGCAGAACAGGGCAGGCCTGCTCTCCTACTATCTAGTTAGAATTTGATAGCATTGTTTGTTCCAACTAAATTATATGTCAAGTGATACTTTTTCATTTAAAGTATACTGATGCAAAATTTTCCTTTTAAATAAATTCGCTCATATGATAAAAGGAGTTGATTTGATAAAAATGTTAACTAGATAACTGTTGTATCTTGTAAGAAAAGAGGAGTAAAGTGATGAAGGTTGACCTGTGTGCTTGGAGAGGGCTCCATGGGCATTTTGGAGGTGTCTGGGGAATACTTTGGAGGCTCATGTGCACAGAGTACAGATTGCCTCTAAGAAGGAGAGATGCCTATGATTGCTATTTCAGGGCACTCCAAGGCCCAGGAGACATGGGACTGCCTTCAGGGGGCAGTGGAAGACAGTAGGTTACCTTGTCTGCCCCACACTCAGTGCCATCCAGGGGAGGGTCCAGCTTGGTCTTGCAGGATGAATCTCCTTCAACCAGGCACCACAGACCGGCACACATCAGATGCTGTAGCGACAAGGGCGGGAAGCGTCATTGCTGAGAACATCCGCACACACCAGTCACAGCTGAACCAGCTCTCAGGTGGAGGGCTAGGGCAGCAGGTGGGGCCCAATTACCAGTTCAGATTTAGGAATGGAAACATGAGAAGAGGGAGGGTTATGGATCTGGATGTCAAAAAAAGAGATGCATTATATCAACTGGCTTATGTACCACAACAAAATTCTGTGTACTACTGCTAGGAGGGCTTGTCTCACAGGGATTCAGCTCAATGTTCAAGCTCCAGATATTGGACACCTTCTAGGTGTCAGACACAGGGCCTCAATTGGAAGATACAGCTGCTGATTCCCAGAGGCAATTAGCAAACAGATGGCTTCCATTGAAAGCAGTGAGGTAGTGGGGCAGATGTCAGGGATTGTAAATTAGTTAGTAGGGAAGACTCTAACCAACCAAGCCTTGGTCAGAGAGGGCTGCTAGAAGAGGCAGCTCCAGAGCTGAGGCTGAGGAATGCGTTGGGGTAAGTGAGTAGCACCCATGCAGATCCAGAAGAAAGAGCCTGAAGAGTAATGAGGGCACAGTGCTCTCCATGGGGTTGGGCTAGTTGGGGCCTCCTTCAGTTCACCCTGTAGGCACCCATTTTCCAGCTCCACTGAGCAGTGCATAGTTTCCTACAATATTTCACCTAGAGAATTTCAAACACCCACAAATATGCAACGAAAATAATTCTGCAGGAACAGGAAATGGCATGTAAAAACAAAGACTCTTATTTGTAATAGTATGAAATTTGGTCATTGTCAAAATGCTCAGGATGAGATAATTTACCAAGATAACTGAAATCAACCCTGCCAGTGCTGTAACCTTGTGTCTTTGGCCTCTCTGGCCTTTCTGTGGGAGCTCCCTGTGGACAGCTGCCCTCATACTAGGCATGCTTCCCAAGTGTCCCTGCAGAGTGCCTTCTCTGGCCATAGAACAAGACTAAACCAGTAAGAGAGGAGGCTGGAGCTGAATAAATACCCCAGCTTCCTCACTACTCATTGGGGTGATTCTGAGGCAAGTTCTGGTAGGTTGGGCCCAGTTGCCCACAGCAATATCTTGCCCATCAATGCACCTTCTCTGCTCTGCTCTGTTCTTCTCTCTTCTCCTCTCTCTCTCATGTCCTCACTCCCCCTGTGCTTCCTGGGATCACTTCCCAGATAAACTACTTGCACCCAAATCCTCCCCTCGTGGTCTACAAATTGAGAACACATGTACTTAAGAATCTTTTAAAGTTACAGTGCTTCCAGTATGCCAAACCCAATCATAACTAAAAGGCCTGAGCCACAGTGGGGGCTCAGGGAGGGTATAGGTCACAAAGCCCCAGGGTGCAGCCCAGGGTAGTCACAGAGGGTTTGCAAAGGGTGTGCCTTGCTCAGTTCAGATGTCTGATGTTCCAAGTAAGCTCAGACATCTACATAGAATAGATATACAAGTCTGCTGTTTAAAGTCCAAAGTGTTTATAAGTTGATGAAGGGACAAAAATAAAACAGAAAAAGGAAAAGCAGAGCTGGAAGGGGCTTTTCAACAGAGCTAAAAAGGAAGCCTACAGCTCCTTCTCATCTTTCAAATTTGTCTGAGCTGATCTGTATCCCAAGGAAGTCAATGATTCAACTGGAATATTACACATTTGCATTCAAAAAAGCTTGCATGTTCCCATTATTTTTCTCCTTTCACTGTTGTTGTTGTTATGTGCCGTCAAGTCAGACACGACTCATAGTGACCCCTCCTTGGGTTTCTGAGGCAGTATTACTACAAAAGTAGATTGCCCCATCTTCCTTCCAAGGAGTGGCTGGTGGGTCCTGAGTACAGCATTAGCTGGTCCGATAACAATTTACCGCACCTCGTTAAATGTTTGATTCCATGCACTTTGACTTCAGAGCTCTTTGAGAGTATGTTATCATTGTGTGGACACATACTTATGAGACAAGACTGGCCTGGCAGTGAATTGATGGCATAGAAGTGCTTGGGATTAGGAGAGAGAGGATGAAGTAGTATAAATTGTATATTTTGCATTTTATAGACAGCATTTTTTCCTAAAATCCTAAAGGAGGATGATGTTAGGCAAATGCTTCTTAAACAGAACACAAAAAACACTAACCATGAAGGATAAAAAAGAAAAATAGACTGAATTATACTATATAAAAACAAAGAACTTCTGTTCATCCCAAAGAAGATATTTGCAATACATGGGAGAGATATTTGTAATGGATATAATTGACAAAGTAATTTTACCCAGGATATATTGTTGTTGTTGTTGTTGTTATGCTATCGAGTCAAACCCGACTCATAGCGACCCCTCCTTGGGTTTCCGAGGCAGTTTCACTACGGAAGTAGGATTGCCCAACCTTCCTTCTGAGGAGTGGCTGGTGGGTTTGAACC